CTGAGTTGAAGCACAATAATTGTAGTTATTTGCTCGGGCGCCCAGGTGTCACTGGCATGAGTCACTTTTCCTGTCTCCACGGTAACAGCTGCTCTCACCTGCTCCTCCCACTCAGACCTTTGTTCAGTGATGACAGCTTCCTGCCTGTGTGGGCCCCCAGACTCAGGGGCCCGAGTCAGCAGGGGCCTCTTCTAGACGCTCAACTGGAAATAGTGAAAATCCCACCAATGACTTTATTTAAGCAAGTGCGGGTTAATGTGCGGATATTGCATTTTTGCTGGTTTTATCATGAAGTGCAGTGTGTATGTTTGCAGTCAGCAGATCATAAAAAGTTGCAGTTATTCAGATATTTGTGCCTACTGCAGAGAAAAGAATATCTTGCCATTTTTGGATATTTATACATAAAGTTCTGATAGTACTTTAAAGGTACAATATGTAACTTCTGGAGTTAGCACGTCACCTGCTTCCATAGCAATAAAATGTTATCACTTGGAGATTAGTTTTATGCTACACTGTGTAGAATTATAGTGAAGTGAGCTACATTTCTATGGAAAACAGGAGTAGTGTATTGAATCTTTAATTTTAGCCTCACCATTGTTGATTTACTGTATTTAATATTTCTGTTGTCATTATTGTAGTACTTAGCTCCATTTTTATCCACCTTATTCCGCCCTACCTGCTCTAAATGCTCTTAAACCCCACTTTTTTGTGACGGTATTTCCGGTTAAACGGGAATCCTATTTATGTCAATGGAGAATTTTGCATTTTAAATATGACATAAAGTCAGTTCATTTGTGTAAAATGTTAAATTTTCATGTGCACCAACAAGTCCCACTGCACTGATTCTCTGTTTTGCTTTAAAAAGTCTTTATAGTCTATATAAAACTTATTTGCTGTCAAGATCAGCAGCTCCATACAAAATAATACAGCACGAAAGATGATAGCGGCGCCCATGGCAACTTCTGGAATAAGGTGAATAAAATCCAAACATAAAAACATGGGGGAAAAATCTCATTGTCTCTGAATCTCTAATTCAAAAGGAACACTCCACCATATTAGTGACTGGTTTATTGCTATTACAGTTTCAATTAGGTATGTCACAATAATCGTTTCGTCAAAGGTCTCACAGTAATATCGTATACCATCTCAATATACTGAATTACAAGTCTCTTTGCTTAAATAATTGGTTACAGTGCAGGAACAGCTAAAAAAACAGGGAGCACTACATAGACCATGATCCTTTGCTCTATTTCAGTGCAGAGTGCATTAAGAAATAACTGTTATTAAGCACTTTTAACTCTTAGTTCTTTGAATTATGACAGAACCAAAGTCTTGTCAATGTATTTTAAAAAGAAAAAGTAGCATATTCACCATTTTGTTAGCCTCCACAATATATCACAATCAATTTTGTACTGTGAGATGCATATCGTGAAAATATTGTACAGAGAGATTTGGATATTGTTACTTCCTTAGAGTATACACTATTCTTGTCATGTTTTCTACTCTGCCTGTCACTGCATGTGTTGATCAGCTGTTCACATGAGCTGGTTATGTTGGTGTGAGCTGAAATGTCAGTGACAGCAGAACTCGGAGCTGTCACACTGGAGCAGCCCCTCTCTGTATGTGCTCTATTGTCCTGTACAGCTGCCTTTGTTTACTATTGTGTGGGCACAGGGTCCTGACCGAGCAGTCTGCAAAGAGCTGCTGTGTCACGGGTTGTGTTATCAAAAATGAGTTGTTACTTCCTCAAAAACCTACTTGGAGTTGTGCTTTGTTTGAGTAATTCAGCATGATAAGGCTCAGGTCCGAATGCTTTGATGTCATGTAACAGTAGTTTTCAAGTTAACAGCATTTTACCTTTGCTGAAATCACCCAGATGATTGCACTGAAGGTGTATGGAGTTTTAAAACACAGTAGAGCACTTCCTGTATTACCACATGCCATCACAACAAAGTGTCTTCTGTTTGAGAGAAGAACTCAGCCTGAATATGCAGGGTTTGTGTGTTAAATGTGTACATACATACTGTATGTATGTATGTGTGTATGTGTGTATGTGTGTATGTGTGTATGTGTGTATGTATGTGTGTATGTATGTATTTTATGTAGTTATGTAGTTAGTTTGTTAGTTATTTTACCAGTTAAGTCAATTGAGAACAACTCATTTTCAATGATGACCTAGCTAAGAGGCAGTATAAAACAGAAGCACAAACAGAACACACTCACACATCAATCATAACATGAAACTGTGAATAAAGAGACAGTGAGACATTTGCTTATTTGATATAAAAGTGTTAAAAGTATGTGCAATGGATGGAGTTTTTAGAAGTCGAGAGAGGTAAAAATGAACCATGTTTTAAAATCTGTTGAAGGTGGTTTCAGTTAGCCTGATTCATCAGCCAATACTTTTTTTAATTTAACCAATCACTGCTATTTGGTCGTGATGTATGTAATGCGCCATTAACGGGGTTAACTGGTATATTAAGCTTTTCCCAAATCCCGTAGGAAGAAGGGCAATAACAGCTTTCCCCTTGATAAAAGTCACCAAACATTCTCTTTGTTTGCAACGATTCCCAAAATCGAGGATTTAAACCAAACAGAATGATTATTGCCGGTGGCTGGTTGGCTGGTGCCCGAACTCGCACTTCCGATGTTTTTGCAAACCGTCTATTGTATTCGGATTCCTGAGGCACTAGGGGGCACCAGCCTGGCTAGGTTCCTGTCACTTGCTTCAGAGAACTGAAATGAGGAGCGTCCCAAAGCTGTGTGGGCTTTAGGAATAACCAGGGTCGAGTATGTGTCTTATTGCAGTGTTCGGCTAGAACTGTGAATATGCAGTAGAGAGCTGAAACAGGACGGAGTCTTACCAGTTAAACATGTGGGTTTGTTTGTGGGTGTGGAGAGAGGGCCACTTCACCAAGGAGTAAAGTGTGCAATGATGGGTGGTGTGTTTGTGATGTGGAAACAACATTATAACATAGATCAGAAAATATGGGCCTTTTAACATGAAAAAAAAAAAAAAAACTGAAATATGAAGTGATGATTTCAGAACATGTTTGTAGGCATCTAAACACACACAAGATGTTAAATTGTTTATCTAAGTAATTACAGCCTTTGCCATTGTGACAGCTTAAAGTGCAATTTCGATCTAATTGCAATTAATCGCAGCTGAATCAAAAACACAATTTGAATAAGGTGAAATTATGAAATGGCTGCAAAAATGTATTTAGATAAACAACAGAATTACCTTTACTTTTATTACCTTTTAGGCCTATAAATATCTTGAAATACATTACATTCTTGTATTAGTCCAGCAGTTCATATTTCAGTGTTTTAATTGTGAATGTGTGTTTGAAATCAGCACTCTGACCTGAATTCTAAATCGCAAATCTGATCATGATCACATTACAATTCATGAGTGAAAACCTTGGGAAAGTTTAAGTTGTCTGAGGCAATAAAGATCAACTGAATGCGTTTTGCTGACTGGCAGGATTTCAAACCTGCTGTAAATGTATATGAATGCTGCCTGCTAATTTACATGTTGGGTATTTTCAGATATTGCCACAGGTGACTGGGAAGACATTTTACTAAATCAGAACAGACATTAAAAAAAGAAAAAAAAAAAGAAAACACAACACATTTTCAACAATAAAAACTCATAAAGGAAACCCCTTGCTTTTTATGTAACTTACAGTGCAATTCCAAAGTGTCAGGGCCTATCAGTTCTACAGTTTTGAACAGGAAGTCAATGAACCCATTTCTGTTATTAAAGTATCTGTGTGTAACCTCCTGCACTCTTACAGTTTAAAAAAAAAAAAATTACTATCACAACTGAACCTGAGTTGTCAGTGCCTTAACCTGCACAGAGGGCACATAGAAGTTTTTCCTCATTTTTAGTATTAGAGATCGACTGATATGGGACTCACAGCCTTTTTTTTTCTTTTTTTTATAGTCATGTTTTTTGCAGTTATCCCTTTGTATTAAGTGTTGAAATAAAGCTTTGCATGTATTTTTTAAGTAGCAAATTGACCAAAACAAATATCGACAAATATTGTGCTGGAGATTTAAAGCCAAATATCGACCTGATATATCGGTCTGTCAGTATAGATGCACTAGCACTGATTCATAACTGGCTGTCGATGCTGGGGGTTAGGTGGTGAGGATTCAGCTCAGAGAGAGTTCGGGATTTCAGCATTGGAACTGGTAACCCAAATGAGATATGTGGGGCTCATTCTGCTTTCTCAGTGGATAATCGTCTTGAAAACCGGAATGCCAACTTAGCTTGGCCATTTTTAAACAAGAATAAATCAGCAATAAATGTTCAGTAAAAGCTTTTGTTGCATTCATCAATTTTTAAACCCTACATATGTAGACTGAGTTCTTCACTCATGGAAAACACTCATGTCATGTGGTAATATGAAAAGCATTCTTCTGTGTTTTTAAACTCCATCTACCATCACTAGAATCATTTGGATCTTTTCAATCCTGGAATTGCCAATCTCTACTAAACTGAAGGTGAAAGGAGCTGTTAACTTGAAAACTACCACTTCATCACACTGTAGAACAGAGCATTTTGAGCTTTAGAGATGTAGACGGACTAATAATAAAAGGTTACGTGAGTGAATGAAACAGGTCTGTTTTTGAGGAGGTAACAACTAGGTCCTGACCGATATATTAGTTGGCCGATATTATCAGCTGATATGGGCACCTGGAGACATATTGACTATCATCTTAAATCTTGCCAGTATGAGCCAATAGTTCACGTGGGCAGATTATAACTCATTATAAATCTTAGACTCTCTATATTATGTCCATTTAATCCAATTTACAGACAGAAAAATGTCCGAATATGTGGTGCAGCATCAACATTTATGTGCAGAGTTATTGGTCTGTGTCTGTGACACTGTATTACCCCTGAACGCACCCCCAGATTCAAGTGACTCACGTGCGCTTGTTTACACATGCAGCTGCAGTCAACATGCTGGATTATATTATTTTTACAGACAATCGTTCTGAGTCAGGACTAAAAGGACACTTATCTGTGAAGACTTGTGATCTGAGAGATGCCTGTGTGAGCGGTGAGTGTTGCAAATGTGTTGGTTTTGGAGCTTCTTTTGGTTCCTTCTCTTTTTCTTTTGATTAGCACTTTGCTGCAGTAAGAGACCATACAAACTGTGTTTTCTCTTACATTGGCCGACTGTAAAGTGACTAGTGGCTGTACACGTCACTGGACATGCATTGATATGTGAATTAGCTGTAAATAGAGGTGTGAATGATAGTTACTTTTGCATATAATTAATTATAACATTTACTGCTAAAGGCTAATAATGGTAATTTACTTACTTTCTTTACTTGCTAGAATGTCATGCAAAAATGCCATTAGACCAACCTACTGTCTTATGACTGTAAAGAGGCAGAATAACAATAAATGTCGCATAAACAAACCCAATTTAAAATCCAGTAGAAACAGACTTAAGTTTTATAATCAGTTGGAAATTTACAGTGATTTTTTACATCTCTAAATATATCGGCTTTTATATCGGCTATTGGCTCCTCAAACTTTAATTTTATCGGTATCATATCGGCTGCAAAATAATCCATATCAGTCGGGCCCTATAACAACATTCCAACATGGCTTAAAGCTCACAAGAGTCCATTTTGCATAAATAGGGTTAAATACCACAAGAAAACATAACAACTTTTTCTTAAACTGCCCATTACTGTCCCGTACAGTTGTTTGCCTTTCATATTTCAGCATATTTTCCACTCATGGTTCAGGTACAGACACTTTAATGTACTTTGATCTATTATTATACCGTATAAATTCCCTTAAATAACTCCACATATGTCCTGATGTCTCCTGATAAGATGTTTCCACATATAAAGTTGTACATTAAAATTTTCTAGTGGTATTTTTCCATGTGACCGACTGCCAGCTCCCCTTCAGATGTCGTACATATCTTATAACTTGATAATGTAATGCTTGTAATGAAAAGTGTGTGCTGGGCTGTATATCAGATTATAAGGATGTCTGATTGGATCTGGTCCTTCAAAGTGACAAACATGTGGTCCCCCTAATGCAATGTTCTGCTGTAGATTCTGATTGACTGACTGGGAAATTTGTGGTTGTTTTTTGACTACATGAAAAGATTTAAGCTGTCAAAGGTTGAATTAATATCTTCAATGACTCATTACAAATACAAAATAAGTACAAAAGTGTCTCATTCTGCTGTTTATTTATTGCAACTCATGATTTTTTAACAATATTGTAGATACAGAATAGGGATGTAACAATAACCAAAATATTGTGATATCGTATTGTCAAAAGTCTCATAATGATATGATGGACCATCACTGTATATCAAATTATCTCTAAGCTTAAATGAATAGTTATGGTGCAGCAATAGCTAAAAAAAAAACAAAAAAACAGAGGGAACTACATAGGCCATGATCCTTTGTTCCATTTCAGTGCAGAGTACATGAAGAAATAACAGTTCTAAGCACTTTGAAATCGTATTTCTTTAGGCAGGGTTCCCACGGTCATGGAAATCCTGGAAAAGTCATGGAAATTGAAAATTTAATTTATCAGGCCTGGAAAAGTCATAGAATTTTAGTATCTCTTTCATGCAACTACAGCGTTCTGTTACGTTATCATTAGGCTATTATGATTATTTCCGAGCGTATGCTCCTTTTGTTTAAAAGAGACGACAGTAAATGCACTGACAGGATTTTGAATGCAGAAAAACTATAATACCAAACCATAAGGTGAGTGGAAAGGTTTGACATTTCATATTTAGTCCTAAAAATATGCAAAATTCTACACATGTAGGAAGTCGTAAAGTCATGGAAAAATTCACTTTAGGTCATCAAAAAGTCATGGAAATTTTTAGTAATTTTGTTTTGTTAGCCTCCACAAAATATCTCAATAAATATCATATCAATAAATATATTGTGAAAATATCATATCAAGAGATTTCAATATCGTTACATCCCCAATATAGAAGAGTTTTTGTGGATCTGCTCTTGGGTTTTTGTGTCAGTGGCATAAATTTGTTTCAGTATTATCTTTTATTGTCTATATTTTCTTTAGTAATATCACACTTCAGAATTTGTTATTGTGACATGCCTACAGGGACTGTCTGAATGAATACAGTTGATTTGTATTACAATACACTGCACTGTGCATTAGACTTAGACTTACACAACTTTATTGATCCACACGGGAATTTCTTTGGACATAGTAGCTCACAACATATTATAATCACAAAGAGAAATTGTGTAAGAAATTCTAAATAAGTAGCAGAAATAGCAAGAGACTGATGTGAAATAAGGCATAATTATATAAATGTATGTACAAGTAATATCACAGCTATATACACAATATTCCACAAATATAGTGAGTGATGGTTAGTCTTTATCATTATAATGCTGTACACAACGAGCCTGTTCCATTCATGCTGTTCTTGTGGAGAGTTACGGTGGCCTTGCAGGGACATGTTGTTATGATCCTAAGCAGTGATAAAATATTTGATTTCAGCTAAAATCACGTGAGCTAAATATGACCTCACCACAAGTGTGACTGCATTTAACAGAATTTAAAGGTGTACTGTGTAACTTTTTGGTTGGGGATCTGTCATTGCTCTGCTTAGAATGTTCCACAATATGACGTTAAACAGATCGACCTTACATTTATTTAATTACAGGTGGTTTTAAAGCTTAAAATACCTAGAAAAATTCTGACTGAGAGTGTGGGGCTGCCTCTCCACAGATCTGACCTGTCTAGTTTGGTCTCCATGAAGGTTTAATGTCATGAGACAAAAGAAACGTTTCACACAATGCACCTTTCAATGTCGAGAGATTTCTGTCATCAGCACATTTTCATTTTTTAATCATTATAATCAAAATGAAAAGGTCTTATTATTCAAAACAGATTTTTATTTTATGTAATTAGGTTCTTTTCTTCAGACCAAGAGTTTATTTTCTTAGCTGACGGTTTCGAGTGCTCACTAGCGGACAGGTTTTGGTGCTGTCTTCCTACCGGTGAAGGCAGGACAACAGCACCATCTGCAGTCAGACTTCCTCAGGACAGTATCCCAGGTGTGTGAGAGTAAAAAAGCCCCCTCGTCCTGGTTTATAGTCCCGTGGGCACGTTTCTGTATTTTGATTGCCTCTTTAATCCAGCGACGATGTTTGTTGTCCTCTGTCCCAATGATGTTTGCCTCCGTCCCATTTTTTATTTTGTTTATTTATTTATTTTTGCTAGAGTCTGCCACCTGCTTGTATCCATGGAAATGTTATTGCTTTGCTTGGAATGTTTCATTGTATGGGATTAAACCTGTCTTATCTCCATGGGGACAAGCAGCTGACACCACCAGACCAGTTTGCAGATCAGATCTATGAAAGGTGTGCCCACTCACTGTAAGAATGCATGTTTTTCAATGTATATTTTTAGCTGTTTGCTCTAATTTACTAAATGCAAGAATTTCAATAATGCCATACTGTGGAATATTCCAGGCAAAGAAACGAGTATTGAGAAACAGCACAGATTTCTGCAGAATTAAGACCAGCATCAAACTCTTATTTATCTCAGCCAAAAGATATATATTTTATTCTGAATGATACGAGAATTTTCTTTTTTCAATTGTTCTGTTTTATAATTTTTTTTTTTCTTACTTTAAGGATGCACTGTGTAACTTTTTTGGAGAGGGTTTGTGACTTATTTGTCTCCATGGAGATTTTAATGCTTTGGTTTAATTTGTCCACTGTATGGCATTAAACTAATCTGTCAACTACAGGTTTTATTTAATGCTCAAAAATATCTTAACACATCATGAATTCTCACTGGGAGTGGGGTCGCCTCTCTGCAAATCTAACCTGTAATTTGGCTTGAACATTCTAGACACATCTCCAAGTTACAAGTTACATAGTGCACCTTTAGAAAAAGAATATCATATTTTCTCCCAACCATTTTCAAAAGTCGTTTCAAAGCCTTTATATGTAGTCTAAAGGAAACACTGCTCCTTTTGCCTCCTCAGTTCAACTCTTTGTGCAGTCAGCTGTTCTGGTGGTTTTTTATCACCATCTGCACTCGAGCTCGTTCTGCTCGAAGCTGTCATTACATAAGACTCATTTGTGTTGGCTAATTCTCACGCTGTAACTCCCGAGACGCTTCCTCCTGGCCATTATGTTCAATTATTGCGGGTACATACACACACACACACACACACACACACGTAAATGCTGTGTTCTTTCATCTCATTCAGGCTGTACCTCCCTCCCTTGTAATTGTGTTCCTTGTTGTGATTTTGTCTGTCTCTGTCTTTACGCACATGTGTAATTGTTGCATTCTTCACATTGAGCTTGGACTTTACCTCTCGAGCTGTGTGTTGATAAAGAATCTGCTGGACTTTGCCTCAGGGTCAGGAGGCCATGTTTGGATAATTCTCCAGGCTTCTCTGTTTGATCCACTACAAAGCTGCCAGCTTCTTTAGTCTCTCAAATTTTGTAAATAACTTAAGGGACATAAATGAAGGCCTTTTTATATTCAGTCAAAAATATGTTAAATTATTGCTGTCATTTTCCAGGGCATATTTAAAGGTGCACTGTGTGGAGAGTCTGTCAAATGCTTTTGTAGTGGAGATGTTATCACTTTGTCTGGAATATTTCACAGTATTAGTGTTGCTCGATTATGGAAAAAAATATTATCACGATTATTTTGATCAGTATTGAAATCACGATTATTCAAACAATTATTTTTTAGTTACATGATTTCATGATTCAGCCTTTTTGTCTCTCAAAAAAAACACCAACAAAAAAAAATACATTTCTTATTGATAATTTACACAAAACTTTCAATTCAAAATAAATATAGGCTACAAATATGAACCTTAGAGCAGTTTTGTGATGTATAAAACATAAAATGAATAAAATACTTATAATATGAAAGAAGACATAAAAAAAAGTACCCCAAATAAACTATATATATCCAGCTGTTCTACAATCTCTATGTTTAAATACAATAAAATAAATATACTTATTTATATTAAAAATATCCCAAAATAAACTTTGTTAAGCTTTA